GGAGAGGAAATATTAATTGACTTTAAGAAATGCTGAGAAGCGTTAACAAATGTATGATGTTGCAAATTATTTCTAAACTGGTATATAATCTGAAATAGAAACAAACGATTCTGAAGAATGAAAGTTTTATATGAGGGTAGGTACCTAAATCGCATAGGAAAGAGAACAAATTCATGTTAGCTTACTTGGTTGTTTGGGCTTTACGGCGCACCAACACAATATAGGTCATACGGCACCGAAACAGGAAAGATGGTTTTGGCTAGCCTCAGGTGTTACAAACATAAAGCAACACCAGGAGTCAAAACCACCTCACCTGCTGGAGCTAAGAAATTCATAGACTTCAATAATTCAAAGCTATTTAGTTGCCGTGTAAGAGCACACAGGTTAAACGGTGGCTGCAATTCTGATGCCTCAACCCGTAAAGGCAACCACTCAGCCACAAGGTGCATAATTGTTCGTCATAGGTAGAAAATGAAACATCATTTAATGCGAAAATATGTATTGATAGGATAAAAATGTAAACACAATGTGTAATATTCCCTTATTCAAATGTGTCAAATTTTACTTATGCCATTACTTTGTTCTGTGTGACAGCTTGTTTCACTATAGTTGTTGTGAAATCAAGACCAAAATACACCTTTGAATCAAACCATATCTTTGGCAGGACATCTTGTCAAATCGAAAATGAAATATTTTTAATGTAAAATGTCAGCCGATTGTGTAACGCGTACAAACTAATTCTTATATACATATCTATTCTGGTCGCTAATCTGAACACTTTGTTTTGTGTATTTTCCTGCTATCTGTTAACAATCGTGCTCATCCAACACAAAGGTATCTGGACTTAAAATCTTTTATCTCTAAAACACATGTCGATAAACGTCAGCAATTATTTCAGGTTAAGTTAATCACTTTTTAGAGGCATTATTTAAAAAACGCTATCGCATTTCCAAAAGGTATAAATAATGTCGATTATCCTGAAGATTATAGTAAAAAATACAATTATAGTATTACATTATCGGAATTAAATTATCTGCTCTTTTGAATGCTATCTGCGCGACAATCATCGGTAGACCTTTCATCTCATTGTCAAATTTTGCTCATCATATTTACTGCGGTCTTTATTAATCCCAAAAGGTATTTTCGTATTGAATCTTTATATTTAAACACTTAAACATGTGCCTTTACAGATTTGGACAAAGCAGACAAGTCTTATCATATAAGAACTAAGTTTTTATGGTATGATGTATTTTCGCTGGTTCGCCACGAAAATCCGAAAACACGAGAGGAAAAAACAAAATCAGCCACCTTAGTTTTTTCCCAATTTCATTAACTGAAGAAAAACAACAAATTCAATAGGAAGTTCTCATGTTTCGTATAGATATCAAAAACAAATTCTAACATTTTGGAAGTAGCTTTAATAGAGATTAAATGTCAATTTTATTGCATGCAAGCTCATTGATAACGATTGTCTTATATTATAATTTGATCGAGTGCTACTATCACGACTTGTGTGCACTGCTTTAAAATATAACGCTGATCAAGTGCCCCATATTTTCACAACTCGAGATTGCAAACAAGCTTTGTTTGGACATGCCCTTAACATTATGATACACTTGTTCTTTGTCTCGGCATGGTTGAAAATACTAGATGGGAATATGGATTTTTGTCTTGGACGGGTCTTCTGCTAGAATAGCAATAACGTTAGGAAAAAACTCTATTTCATATGGTCCTTGGATATTTTGCAGCTGTAAATATACATGCATTATTTTCGAATTTCAAAATTAATAACGTGACAATGTATCCTTGATCAGTGTCACGGGAAGTCGCATTTCCTATTTTTTACTTTAATATTAGTTATTCGTCTGCTTCGGCATATTAGCCTATTTACTCTCCTGATTCAACAAAATAGAGATTTACCATCTCTAAAATTATTTCAGAAGTTCATTTCAGCGGCAATACTTGAATTCTTAGAATGTGGCTTCTAAGAATATATTTTCCCTCCAGTTATCACATTCATATACAGTAACGAAGTATTTTCTCTTAAATATTTTAATGTAAAAGATAGCGGTAAGCAATCTGAAGCTTATTGTGAGTTGTACTTGTTATATAACCTTGGTAAAGGGTTAAATTGAGTTTATTTAAAGTATTTTTTCCTGAATTTCTCTGAATTACCTTCTCTCAATAGTGCAGTGTACATCTAAATCTTTTCCCGGGAAATGCATGCGCATTTCCTTTAATTGGAAACCAATTGATTTGTTATCGAACAGACTCAAACAAGTGTGCATTATTTGACAGTAGCAATTTATTTGTTATGTTTGAGTGACGCCGTATAATGAAATGAAAGTAATTAACGATAAATATTTGATTAACATTTTTTAATTATTATTATACTAATGCCACAAAATACTAGGAAAATAAAATATGATCGGAATATACGGTTTCAAAGCTGATTCTAACAGTAAACCGACCGCAATTAGTGCATGTATTTATACGCATGCCTAGTGCTATATGAATTATTCTGTAAATATTGAATGTAGTAGGAATTAGTGTAATTATCCAAAAGGAATAACTTCCGAATAACTTCCTTTAATTATACGTGAATTAGACTCATGAGCTTTGCATGATTTATAATTAAGTATCAAATGAAACTTAATCTTTTGAAAATTTGATTCATCTAAGACAGCTATCTTTGTTACATAATACAAACATTCTATTTGATAAGGCTATTGCGTGGGTCACCCCTACTTCATAATTCAAGATAAGAACTATTTGCTGGTATCTGTGCACACCCCATTTTCATAAATATATGAACATCGGCAATATTTACAAATTCTTTATTAAAAGGAAATCTCAATCATTATATGAGATACAACAGTGTAATACATGATAAAGGTTCAAATAAGGCATGATAATGTTAAGAGACGGTAAAATAAATCATAAATATGTCCAAGATTAAAGGAGCAGCAAATATAAGAACTACTTTCATCTCTTCAAACTTCAATCCTTGATTTGCTATAAAGTGCCCTGAAGAGCACATTTATTGTTCTTGTTCTAAAATTTGACATTTCTCATTCAAATTTTAAACTGCCAATTAGAGTCGCTTTAAGGGTTAAAAAGTCTTCCACCTCCAAATCCATTACTAACTTGAATGACAGTCAAACATAAGTGATTTGTTAGAGACGATTTAGAACATGAAATCATGGTATCTCAACAAGTGAGTCCATTAGCTATTTACATATTTGCCATGACAACAATCTGTTTAACAGATAAAACAATTATATCGCACTAATGTACTTGTTTTTGCTCAATCGCATGTCTTTTAATGAATATCTTTGCTCGTAGATATGCCTGCCTTATACGAATTAAAGATATATCAGAGCCATGCTAAGTTAGTCACTGATATTTGAGTGCAATTCCCTGTTCATTAAAGGTAATGTAGAGTTATTTATCACAAAACAAAATATGCATATATCAATTACGAACTATCAGTTACAAATATGGTAATTTTATGTCATTAGAGAAAGCCGGGAAACGAAACAACCGGTCTTGTCCTTTTTCTTCTTTATTGACTCTTAATTGAAAACCCAGGTATGTGTTATTGATGTCCCTCCACAAAAAATGACTGTCCTTTCCTAAAGGTTCCTTAGTGAAATGAGAAACACGCTCAAAAGTTTCCTTCAGGGAGAAATTTAAAACAAAATGAGTCCAGATTTATATTGTATGTTTCATTCGTTTTAAAAAACAACACTTGTTATTGGTTAAGAATCCGCATTCTACTGTCATTCTATAGCGACTTAAACGCATTCATATGAGTGTAATTATATAAAGAAGCAATTGTTCATTAAACGATACGCATTTGTGTGTACATAGATTTTCATTATTTCATTTCATTTATGTATTAGATAATAATACTAAAAAGCAAAAACGCTAAAAGCAAACGTGGTCCAGACTTTCCAGCTGGTCGATTACCTAAATGACGGAAAGGCCGAGAAGTCGACATCATTGCTACTGTCGACGTCGTTATAATTGTTGTAAAGATTATACGCTATATTCCATGTTTTCCAACTCAGCATTTTAAAAAACACATAAAAATGGGCATTTATTTCTTCTATCATAACTGGGATTTCTATGCACTTAATGACAACTGTCTGTGTTGAATAACTTTGAGTAATGGTTATACTTTCCGATTATCGTTAATTAACTCCATGAGATTTGTAAAGTGTAATTCTACCCGACAATTTAAAACATTTAAGAGATTTTAACTCTTTCATTGACACCACTTCACATTAATAAAATGAGTTGAAAACCAAAATTATGCGTTTCACAGAGATGGTTTGGAGCTGTAGACAACATTACGTAGAAAGCATGATCTGATCAGACCGATAATTCTGTCTGCTTGAATTTTTTGTCTGGGCTTTGAGACAGATAGACATTAACGAATTGAGCAAATTAGTTTCATCTACTCGGCTATTTTATTAGTTCAATATTTAAAATAATTTATAAAGAGACTGCGTATCATTTTATGGATTGATGTTTTTGGTCTTTGAACTTTATTTTTCTCCAAGTTTTCAACAATTTCAACAATTGTTATCACACAATAATGAAATCAGATTCGGGTATATTAATCAGAATTTCAATATATTATTTCAAAGAATGTATACATTTTCTCTAAAAAAAGAAAATCAGCATTTTAAAACTTTTTTTATAGGGTTGTCATTTTTAAATAGCCTTTGATATATGACTTTGATCTTTTATTCAACTATTTTACATAAATGAAGAATAACATTTGAATTGCATACTTAAAAAAGAACACATCAATGTTTTGGCTTATACAGTTCTGACTCTTTTGAAACATATATGGTGTAAGAAAATGAAAATAATGGTGAACTGAAAATAACTTTATTTAGTACACTCAAGTTTAAATTCGAGTCTGCTATAATAACCCTTTCCTGTCCCTTGTTACTTATTTGACATGATAATTTATTTTCTTCTTTCAGTTTTAACATACGAATTAACCGTCCCGACGGAGTATACGGCATTCTCTGGAGATCTTGACGTTGTGTACAAAATTCCCGACGGTGTTTCACTTTCAGATGCCTTCATCCGTGTGGCCTTAATAACCGACGACGGCGAGGAGGAAATCACAACTTTAGGAATAAATCCCAAATATCAAAGCGGAAGTAAAACTGTCACGTGTGGTGTAATTGAAGTGGCGGGAAAATATGAATTTCAAATGTACATGTATTATGGTGGTTCTCTTTTAAAGCGTGCAAATCTTATAGTACGGTGGCCAGACATGGTCTTTCAGTTACCAAAGTCTCATTATGCTCAGAGTGATTCCGTCCAACTAAGAATTCACTCACCAGCAGTGTGCAATCCAATATTAAAGAGATATAGTTTTGAAATGCAGCTCGAATATGCAGACAATTCCTCAGTGATCTCAGTTACAGGAAATCATGAAATTTTATATTCGAAACCATTTGATAACTTTTCTGCTAAAAATTTATCAATTGAGTTTCCATGTTCTTTGTTTGATTTATCAGGAATTTATCGTGCCTCACTCATATCATCATTCAGCGCAGTATCTGTAGTGTCTAGAAGTAATTCCATGTTGACAACAAATAATCCGGCTTACGGTATACATATTTCAGCAGATACAATATTTCCGTGCAATAATGGTAATTTAATGATTCATTATCAGCTGCCTCCATGTCCAGGCACAAAAGAGAGTAATAAAATTCGGATTTACATGCTTCACCGAAAGTCGTCAGGATCATTAGCCGCTCCTCAAGAAAAACTATATGTAGAAGAGCATCCAGTTGACCCTGACATCACATTCATCACCCCATCATGTAATATTTTCAAGACAATTGCCATTGGGTATTGTTTCCAAATAGTAACCTTGGCTAGGCATGGCGTTATTATCAATCAAACAGAGCTTTGCAAATCAGCACATCCAGATTCAGGTAAGAATCGTTCAATGTTTATCAAATATTGAAGAATTAAGTAATCCATCAGAAGTTGCTAACCTCCTGTATGGTAACGGTTATGATGAGAACAAACTTCTCCGATGTTTTACATTTAACGCTCGTATGGGCGTGGACGGTAACTTGCACTTTCCAGTACCGTCCATGAACAGGCTCAATCAAACCGAGCCTGCAACATTAATTTTTACAATTTTGCCGTGTTGGGCTTTCTTTAGGGATTCTGTTTTTCTCTATTTAATACATGGGTCAGCTTATAAGACTTTTACCTATTTGTTGTATTCAGCCGTCTTCTATAGTGCCGGATATTATGCACAGATTACTTTTTAAGGTCTCTTTCCATAAGTAAAGGCGAAAAATCGCATACGACCTTTATTGTGTTGGTGTTACTTAAAATTCAATAAACCAAATTTCCCTTCTTTTTAACTTAAAGTTCAATCAAACAAACCCTGATTTTTGTATGCGCTTTAGTCTAAAATATCATTAGAAAAACAGAATCTCTTAAAATGTGAAATAAATGTTTACTGCATCACAATAAATAAAGGCATAAGTAAATGAAGGTTAGGTTTTTAAATTTATAACTTTTCATTTAATGGGCTCAATCCCCTCCCAATAAATCTGATTTATGTTTCAATATTTACTAAGAACAAAGCTTGTGTTTGCTTGGATGGGCTCAGTCCTAATTTCAATAACTTTGTTTGATTTACTTATTGGTTAGTAAATTACCTAGTGATTACGTGAATGAATACTTTGTCCAAACATTGATTGACAGTACAGTTTATGATAACATGAGCGTTCGTCTGTAAAAGTTGAAATATTCCAAATGTTAAATTACATTCTCTTAGCAGACGTCAAAGTTAAAGAAAGTGTTTAAAGGAATGCATAACTTTTAAAACGATGTTTACTTTAATGTTGGAAAGTTATTTGACATGAAATTATCAAAAAGTTATAATCAAGCTTTATCAGTTTGTAAAAAAAAAATTTTGTCCCATCGTTTCGAAAATTATTCCTAATTGTTTTAGTCTTCATTTTAACGTGAATGAAAAGTTCAAGTAGTTTTTTTTACAAACTCGCTAGGTCAGGGATTAAATTACGCATTAAGCGTTATTTCTGTTATAAAAGCAAACTAAAAGGTATGATTTGAACGAATACAAGGTCGTAATGAAACTAATCTAATCTGCTGGAATGTTCCAATATTTTCTATCGATTTGTACACGAAGCACGCGCGGTGTCTGTCTTGGCATGTCGTCTGCTGCTCTCAGACTGTCTATAAGCAGACGACATCGTATACCATCAAGCGTTTACCTGATTTTTATGAGCTTCCTGACGATTAATTGTTGAAATATGATCTCCAGTCCCTGGTTACGAGAATTTACATGCGATATTGCTACTTCGTTCTAATCAAAATATTTCATTGAACTAGTTTTCTAGTGGTCTCACTTTACGTTTATATCTATAAACATGCAAAGGACAACAAAATAGAACAAAAGAATATAAATCTAATTCTGCTGGGGGGATTCCTACGGAGGATTTTATATTTACAACAGCATTGCAAATCTGATTCTAGATTTCTGATTTAAGCCTATTTCACGATCTTTAGATATCGGAATATCTTTCACATTCTAAGGTTTCAGTATTTGCACCATTAACTGTCGGAATCTGATTATAACAATGTTTATTATCAACATGCTAAATGATGCTTAATCTTTTCCTGCTGAAACGTTTTCCCGGCAATTTAAAGGAAAGAATTGAGTTGTTTTTTCTGAGAAGAATTAGTTTTATTTGGTTGTGTATATATATACATGCATTTAAGTTTTTTTCTGTTAATCTATGTAATTATTTTGAAAAATCTTATACTTTTATATGTTCCAAAACTGATTTTTTTATTAAGTATTATTATTATTTTTTTCATTTTTTTTTATTTTATTTATTTTTTGTAAATTCTTTAAAAACGAAAGAAACTGCAATTTACATGAGTCCTCCGACATTGACACACAAGCCAAACGCAGTAGTACAAAAAAGTAAGCATAATTTCTTGGGTTCATTCTTGTCACACTAAATGTTTACAAGGCAGATGTTTTTTAAGGTAATGGTAGTGACAAAACAAACCCATTTAGTATATTAGCCGACAATTGTCATGAATTGTGATGGTGAGATACCCTGTCCAGTAATGATTGAACATGAAGCTAAACAAAATGACACATGCAGAGATAAGAGGGTCCTGATAAAACACAGATAATTAGTTAGAATGTCAACATTGACATTGGACAATCTTTACCCGAGGGTTAATTAAGTCCGGGTTTCAATGAACTTAACGAGACCAAAAGATGCTTGCTTTTACTTTGGTGTAATAAGTGTAGTTTTCAGTGATTAGCCTTACTTGCATATCCTGGAACATGTTTTCTAAGTGCTAAGTCTGGTTGCATTAATGTTCACTTTGAATCAAAGTTGTTTTAGCTTTTTTTACTCGTGGTTGCCCGTCTAAACTTTATGTGTCGCTGTAATTATAGGGCGCACAGTCATCTAAACTTTAGTGTACTATACCAATAAATCCAGTCAATGTTTATTGACAATTGAAAGCTATAAAATGAACTTTGACTGTAAGCTGGGACTTTGTGTTTTGATTTGAAAGGGTCAATTAGTGTCAGAAACCATGCAAGACCTCCCTGTGACACAAGTAGATTGAGAATAAATTGATGTACTCTCCAATAGTAAAACATTTTGTTCTCGTCTACATTTCTAATCACCGTGGTCATCCAGGGCGGTCAGTGGTTGTTAATGGTCATTTATCTGACCAGTGACCTTTGACTTCCGTATAATTAATTTATTAAAGGGATTTTAACCTTCGTAACCGCTTGCACATTATGGCCCCCATATATCATATCAGGGTATAGATCTTGAGAGGCGACCGTGTGAAATATCGAGATAAATATACACAAACCCATTAATTTGGTAAAACGAATAAATAAATGTTTTTTTTTAAGCTGGGCTAGCGTTGGTTCGAACCCATTTGTACTAATTTTGATGAATAGCATTTTTATCACTTTAGATTAACCTTCCTGGTAGATATGCATTTAGCAATTATAAAATAAGAATAAAATGCGTGTGTATTTGAGTTTATTTATACTCGCCAACGGTTGCCGATATGGGCGAGTCCTCAAGAAGAATATTAGTCATTGAGGATAGTGTATAAAGATGCCCCAATTCCAGATCCTTCTCCTGGTTCTTTAGTGTGCCAAGTGTCTCGAAGCACTCATACATAACCTCGATTTAAAGTTATCCGAAAGAGTGATTAGTAATTTTACTGAATGCAAATTGTTGACAAAACCATGCCGATGAGCACTGCAGCGACTAGATCGGGCCCGTGTGTGTGTGTAGCGTTAATTGGAATAAACGCTGCACATTTCCTTTATTTCCGATCTTTATTCGGTGCACTGATTTGCCTCAATTTTAATGTTACAGTCCTTTTATTGTGTTTGATTTTATTTCAATTATCTTGACCATCATCTGTAATAACGCAGAGTTCAATAATAAACCTGTCTAGTTTTATCACCAGACGCTCGCGAGTCTGTGATTTATAAAGTGTCGTTTTACTGCCCTGAGTGACCATTGTAAACGAAATCAGGTGCTCTCCTGGCCATATAAACATAAAAATTACACACTATATATCAAGTTATCAACTAATCAATTTATGGCATTCGTTTTTGAAGTAGTATATAAAAGAAGTCTGAATGAAAGTTTTAGTTGCACTTAGTGATCTATGCAAAGAATTTATTATTGTCTAGAAAATTTAAATCAGAGCTTTTCTGAATTGTGGGGTTGTTGCGACACGAATGTTTCTCCTCCTTTATGTTATATAAGTTACAACCGGTTTGCACTTTACCCATCGATTTTATAAAGTCATTTGCTACAGTGACTGCATATAATTTCATATAATACACGATGCAAAAAAATGATATCCTAAACGTATTTTACAACCAATTTATAATATTTACATTATAAAAACTATATAAGGTAATGTACTATGTAAGTTTTTTTTCCAAATCAAAAGCTGTTATTATAAACTATTTTATATTTAATTTTTATATATTTCAAAATAATCACTGGTACGGGCGTACCGGTTGCATTTGATTTTTAATTAAATTTAAAGGGTTGCGTAACGAAATTTATTTTGGGGAAGAAATAAATGTTGTTAAAGCTCATGCTACAGTTCTTTACATATTTTAAGCAAGTTTATCAGACAAATAATGATCTCAGGGTTAACCTCGTGGATGTTTAAGTGATTTAATTCAGCAACTTTCCCCGTCATTTGAAGGCTTATGTTACAACAAGACTACATCATTGTTTATATTTACATCAATTTTCACGATGTAGAAGCCGAAACTTACAACGTCCCGCGCCATGATTTATGATATCATTCACACTAAATTTGTTTAACTTCTTTATTTATTGTAAGAAAATTGTATACAATAAACAGTGAAATTGGCCGTATACATATAGACGCTTTATTTAAAAACTTTTCAAGCATCTGAAAGATTTTAGAATTGATAACTTTTCTGCACGATTAAATGCGAAACAAAGATTTGTATTTGGATGAAAGGAAAGCAAGTGTTCGTGCTCAAAGTGCTCACATTTTTTTAACATTAGTGTTCTTACTAAAATGATGAATGGCAAGTTTAACCACAGTATTCAGTGTACACGGACAATGAATTTGTATTCTGACATCTAACCTGGTAAAATGCCATTCACATTAACATTCAATTGCTCATTTACATTTTATTGTAATTTTAATTTTATGCATTTTTTTTTTGCCCGGACAGCGATAAAAAACAACTTCTCATTGTCCGTGCGGCCATGCTTGAGAAATTGATTTACGTTATCTTTATTTAAAAATATTTTTGTTTTTAACATTGCTAATGTACAGAACAGAACAGAACAACAGAACAGAACAAAATTATGTTACTTTTATCAATTGCTTTGTCTTTGTGAGAGTAGGTCTGATTAGGTATAATATAGATAAGGACAGGAGCCAGGTATTTAAGGGGGATTTATATCAGTTAACTGGGACGTTGAGTTTTTCGTGCCATCTCCTGTCCCATGATAGCCGTACATTGTGATTGAATGAAATACAGATTTTTTCTTATCATTTGTTAATCAGTGGGTGGGATGACAGGGGGAGAGGTGCAAAGGTAGTGTAATAATAGAAGCATTCCAGGGTGCATCATCGTATTTCATTAATTAATTGTTCAACATCCAAAATATATAATCACAAGGATTATAATCATAAAGCATAATTAATAATAAAACAAGTATCTGATATGATATGCGGTGTAATTAAAGTGTCGGCATTTTTATAACCATCTCAATTGCCAATTTCAGGCTTTCAATAAATTATTTTTGAAAATGTTGAATTGTTGAAAAATTAAAACGAATTTCCATGTGATTTTAGTGTGTGTCGGATTAAATTATTATGTTAATGATTAAATATATTATATATATGGTCAACAATGTCTAAATCTAAGTTAATCAAACTAAAGACATACGTGTGTAGGTGATATAAATAATACACTTACAATGGTGTATCTTGAGAGTTATAAAAGTAACCAAATGACCAGACAAGTCAATTATAGATATGGATCTTATTTATTTTTTAAGTTTATATCTAAAAAAAAAAAAAAAAAAAAGGATCGTAAAAAACGTGTCCATCAACAATTTATCTCTTTTCATTTATGATAGTAGATAAGTATGGAGTATTTATAATCAATTATAAGAATTACATTTACACAAATAGAGCGCTTTTTTCACTATGACTTTTCTAGAAACTGAATATAAACGAATGCCAGTCATGACTTATTTTGGAAACATGGATACTGACAAAGTTTCATGAAATGTTAATTTATCTTAATAGCATCCTGATCTTTGATAAAAAAAGACTTTAACCCACACTCCTCCTCATTAAGCATTCCTTTTTATTCAGTTACATTGATTGTCTTAATATTATACCAATACTTTTGAAATAACTATATTTTATGAACAAACATGTTTTCCTTTTCCTTCACTCGATCAAAAAAATATTTAATTCTGTCGTAATTACGAGAAAGTTTCTCTTACATACATTTCCCTGGAGTATAATTTACATGAGGGATTACTTCAAGTATTGTATGTGTGTAACGTATTTCGTTAAGTAACGGAGATGACAATCACGTAAATTACAGTAACGTATCAGTTAGAGAATCTGTCGGAATTCTTTCGTATGATGTAACAGTTAATTCAGATAATGTATTAGTTTACATTAGCGGAGATTTGTTACTTACACAGAAAATATGTACTCGATAAATATTTTGACAGCGTTACTGTATTGATCAAAGAGGATTTCTCCGATTAGAGAGGTTCAAAATAGATGTAATGTGGCCCTAAATTTTTACCTCGTTATCTATTACAAAATTATGTAAATATTTTTTTAAAATACAGATGTTTTATCAAGATCATTTGCCTGTGTGGAAATATCATTCCATGATATCAAAGATATCATTACGATAGACGTTCTTGCTAATGAAAAACATTATTTCTGTAATGAAAATATTGAATACATGATAATGCATTTTGACAATTTAAAAATAGCTTTGGGGTATTTTATAACAATTAGTGAAGAAACGAACACTAGCTAAACGTTCAATCATTTTAACAGCTTCGGGGTCTGCATTGACCTTTGACATAATATGAAATGATAATATTTTCATTGAAGAGACAGTTGTCTTAAGTATAACATCTGAATACCAGTGAATCTATGGTATTATTTTTTTCATTTCTAAATTATACATGCATAATATGATATGATTTTAAAAGAATTAAAATGTGTGTATTCTTATTTATTCTGCTGCCTTTATTTGCGGATTGTAAACAATTTTCCGGTAAGTGTTATCATATCATTTAAACACATAAATATTGTAACATGATGTGTTTTTGTAAGTTGATGTAGTCGAACTATTGTATACTTTTCTTCTGTTTACAGCTTTTCATTTTCTTCCTTATTTTAATGCTTTACTGTCACTATTATTTTTACATTCATGTATTCGAGTTGTTAGATGTTATTATTTAAAATGGGAAAACATATTAATGGTGGGTTTGGTTATAAAATACACCTACTTCCCGAGATAATGGAGGCAGGGCAGCACCGCCTGACATTAATGGTTGAAATATTCTCAGTTGTATAACTAGCTTGTAAATGTATTGTTAGCACTATTCTTTAGTGTGTTTTTTTTATCTTATATACAAAATGTACATGTATTCATTAAAAATTAGAAATTCTGTGATCCAAAACAAATACACTGCATTCAATAATAATAATTGATTTTTTTGAATATATTTCAAACTTATCTTGAAAATGATCACCTGACGCTGATATTTTACAGTAATCACAAATCTAATTTAAGAACAAAGTATTAAATTATGTAGGCGTAGCAATAAATAATTTACAGAGATAGAAAAGATATAATGTTTTCTTATAAATCAAACAAAAAAACGAACATAATTTCACCGTTAAGAAATTGTACAACTTGAATGACCCCGATAATTCCAGAAAACCAAACATAAATTGTATGTCGATGTACTCGTAAATTGTCTGGGAAATAAAACTAGCACATGTTGACATGGAAAAAAAAGTCTCATACTTCTAGAGCTATTTTTGACCTTTTAAACGTATCAGATATTTTAAAGATAAAAAAAACAAATAAGATTAAACAACTGTATTGCGGTGTAATTTCAGTATTGCCAATAGACGGAGGTTGGAGTGCATGGAGTCAGTGGTCCGAGTGTTCAGCGACGTGTGGGTCCGGAGAGCGGAGCAGATACCGGATGTGTGACTCGCCCACACCAAATTTTGGCGGGGCTTTCTGCCACGGTGACAGTATACAGAGGAAACGCTGTGAACAATTCTGCCCAGGTAGGTTCTATTTAAAGGCCCATTATGCCTCAAAAATGCTATCATGTTTTTTTATTTCACAAACACTTAAAACTGTTGGTATCTTGGTATATTTTCCAAAAATACTTATTTGTCATACAAATGAATAAGCTTTGCTTCTTTTGCTTTGATGGCAGCTGTAATAATTATAGTGAATTGTTATTTTATATGGAAGTCAAAGTACTACTTTGTTTACATTTTGCTATCTTTACCTATCTTTACGACACAATACAGTACATTCAGCGCTACACATTCCTCAGCTGTTTAACATATAACATTCTCTAAATCCATTATAAAAGCATCATGAGACACATGTTGTTTGACATTTCTAAAGAATTTAATTAATATGGATTTCTGAGGCAAAATATGCCTTTAAGTAACGCATATCTTCCCATAGTGACTAATTGTCCTTGAAGCTTATGGCAATATCGTATGGATGTCGTCTGCACATCCAACTGTATCCATTTTAAGTGCACTTAATGTATTTTATTATCAAGTACTTCATAAATTACATTTCATCATGTATTTGTGAAATATGTAATATATCCAATATAATGATAATTTATTATTATGCGTGTGCAATTACATTTTGGTACATTTAATTAAATTTATGGTGTCATATTTTCAGATTCAATACCGATGACTCCTCTGCATTCACCAAATGTCGACAGCGCATGCGCATGCGGATGTCACATGACAAAGGACCAGGGTGAAATTATCGCCAGTGGGCGCTGCTCAGGTACCTCAAAATGGCTCATCTCACTTCAGAAAAATTACGTCATCAATCTCAGGTTCAATTATCTCAGTTTCTATCAGAATAAACAATGGGTCAAAGTTCGGAATGGCGGTACACCGGAGTCGGACCTCATCGCATTTACAGATGGTCGTCATAACATTTATCACGTGACTTCCACAACGAATCAGATGCTGATAGAATTCTACACGGAGCCAGACAGCACTGGGGGTAGCAGTAACCTTGCAATATACCCACTTAAACCAGAAAAACCTATTCACGTCCATGGATTCATAGCAAAGTTTACATCTAATTGTAAGTTCTTTCACTTTATTAGCTCACCTGAGCAAAATGTGCTTAAAGATGAGCTTTTGTGATAGCAAAGTGTCTGTCGTCCGTTATGCGTCTTCCATCGTTGTCCACATCAGTTCCTAAATCTTAAAGTAGGTTTTGACCAAACTTCACAGTAATAATAATTTAATTGTTATACAAATGCATAAGTAAGTCATTAGAGCTAAATACAGACATAAAATGCTACTTCTCTAAAGCTGCTAAACCCAATCGATATTTGGTATGAAGCATCACTTAGTGGTCCTTTCATAACAGTTATATAAATCATAGTTTTATTGTCAAAATTGACATTGAACCGGAAGTCAATATAGAATAATTCATTTAAATCTCTCTTGTGCAACAAACTTCCCTAAACAATGTAAGATACTTAACATCTTATATTTTATTGAACCAGAAGGTATAATAATTTTGTCTCTCGGGTAAAAAATGACCTTACCCTAGCGAACACAAAGTTTACATGAACTTATTAATGTATAAAAGACACATTTATATATTCTTCTGTACACTTGAAACTAGAGGTCCCAGAGCTATATATTTTGCATTTAGCATCACCTTGTGACCCCATGGTCAAAACCGGACACGGGTGGTCACTTACGTTACATTGACTTCTGTAAGAATAGATATTCAAATCTTCCTGTGTGATATTACACCAGTAAGAGCTTCGGTATTTAGCATGTAGTGTATCCAAGTGCCCCAGTGCCCCTCTATTAAATAAAGTTAAATAAATCATTGCCCAATTGATTAAATTACCCACTCACTTTGGAACTAATGACCTATTTCAGCAACCTTTTTTAGCAGTGGATCTCAACTGAGCGATATAGGTCCGTTCTCATTTATATTTGTAAAAGCTGTTAATCTATTCTTTATTTGTCAAGAACTATATCATTTCTTATTTATTGTATGTTGAGTCACTTACACTTAAATTCAGCTGTATTTTTTTATTTATTTCTCAACCAACCTTACAACCCGAAAAGGCTTTACAGCCGACCTGAATATTTGATTTACATGAGGATGTTGAAAAAGGAGTGGTTATCCTGTCTTAACCCATTTTACTCATTATTATTCATAAAGAAGTTGTTTTATATAAGTCTGCTTAAGAAAGCTAAATATTCGAGTATTTCTGTTTTCAGTAACCGATTCCAGTGCAGTACCGATAGCGGCGGAACCCGTTAGAGACGCTGCAGAACCTTCTATCTGGGAAAGCACAGTGACTATTGTAGGCATTGCTTTATGTGGTCTAGTCGTTATCACGGCCGTAGCTTTTGTCATCTATCACCGGGTGTGTCATACCCGTCAACACAAATATGCCATGGCGGCTCACGAGGAGAGCCCGAAGCGCATGTGCAAGAGTACAAGCATGAGCACACCCAGTCACGAAAGTCATCATGGGATTGAGATAGAACATGACATGGAAATGCCTTTAACTAGAATAAAAAATGGTGCTGATAAGAAACGAGTAAAGACACCTGGTTCAACGCGATCTAAAGGCTCGTTTTCAAGCACGTGTTCAAATAAAGGAAAGAAATTAAAGACTAAGGCTGATGTAGAGCATGGAACTAGTCGTGCAACTCCGCTCACTCCAAATAGAGATTATTCTCAGATTCCACAACATGATTCTAGTCCGCTTAAGAAACATAGAGTGCATGAATTGACTAAAGAAAATGAAAACAATATGAGTTTATTTAGAACTAGTCCTTTAACTAAACCAAAGGTCCCGAGATCACCAAAAGTTCACCCATCCCCTAAATTACAGAAACAAAAACCGCTTACTTCGCCATCCAACGATGACTTTGATACTGTAAGAACTAAGCATGATTTTCTTTCCGAACGTTTTGGGTCTTCCAATCGTGAAAAACAAAGAGTTGTGATGGGGTCAGATCATACCCCGACGAACAGTGTGAAATCCCCGCCGTCCGATAGCAGTAGGACCGATGTTGAAACGCCGACGAATATTGACAATGGCGTTAAATATCGTAATCATACACGATTTAAAAATAGTTTACAAACTGATCAAAATAACCACCGGGAACGTCCAAATGATATAACACTAAGTGATCTTACAAAAACTGACAAAGATACAGATAGAAAGCCGGCGTCGGGAACATCCGACGACTCAACGTCAGCAGAAAAAGACACAGGAACTAGTATGACAACGTCTTTTATAGAAAATGGTTCAAAACCACGTCGGCCTACCTCGTTAACGGAAAGTTATAGTAAAATGAGTATTGCCTCGGCAATAAGCCGAGGTAGTATAGAGGGTGCTAGAAATAGTAACAGTATAGCAAGCTCAAAAGACAAACTTTCTGTTACATCGAGTGATGATAGGCAAAACGCGCTGCCCAAGCCGGATGGGCAAAGTCCGAAATCTCAAAGACTTGAAACGATGAAAGTTGAGTCGAAAAACTCCTCGCCAACAAAAACATCTAAAGCTTCCACACCGCGTAGTGTTCGTAGTTCGAAAAGTGATTTAACAGATAAAAGTAATAATACGAAGTCACCGGCTAGAAGTATTAATACACCGTCGGACGTCATAGAACTCGAGTATGATGATTTTATAGACATGGATGATACATATTCATATTTTGATCCAATTGTTACGGAGCAATTAACGTTTCATGGTGTTGAAAGGGTAGCCGTTAAAACCCCTAAAACACCAAATAAAGAAACGACAGCTAAATGATTGAGGTAGAAGTTTGTTAGAAAATATCTTTTTAGTGCAATATGATGTCATGTACTAACACAACTAAATTCTTTTGAAATCGGGATATTAACCGTATACCTTATACCATATATTAAATGTAGTATATACGGAATGTGTACCGTTCGTTCCGACAAAGCACTTCTCGTGATTAAAAAAAAGATTCTGTGGAAGTACAAGATTAAATGAAATCTAGATTCGTCTAATGGTTACACTTGTTTATAAAATATCCATTTTACAATACATATAAACATGTTGATTAGGTGGCAGTTAACACATTATTTTTCAAAAATAAGCAAAGAAAAATACTGATCTCACGTCATGGTATGTTATATTCCATTTCATCCTCATCATTAATCACGTGACAATCACGTGACAAACAAAATGGTTGTATCATTCATATCAATGTTTCTATATAACAGGCAGCTTATATCATTCAATCACAGATATGAAGGAATATATATTTTTGTGATGTTATATCATTTTATTTTAAGGTTGTGTCATGAATGAATATTGCCATTAAGTCATGCCATGATTGTACTGTATGTCATAAAGTGATGTATACAATATATTTACAGATTGCTGCAAAAGTTATTTCATCAATATAAATGTACACACTCACTTTCAAACAAAAAAACAACTCATATTGCAAATTATATTTACAAATATACATATCCATTTTATGGACACTGGAAATATCTGATGAAATTTATTAACATGTTCATGCAGATTTTATTCATGTGCATCGAAATAACGAACGTTTTCGTCACACAAATCACCAAATTTAGCATCTATGACTGTAATAATACGTGAATGTATACTTTACTTTCAACAGTTCAATTCCGCGCTTTTATTTAAATGAAAAATATCTCTTTGGACCATTTAATTATCTATTAGTATTATGCCTAACTTAATGTGTCCTAATTATGTACTTAAAGTGAACTGATTGTGTACTTATTATGTACTTACTGTGAACTAATTTTAATACTGAATCTGTACTTTTTGTGTGTACGGTTATTATACTTGTTCAATATTGATTCTGTACTAATACTGTACAGATTCTGTACTGAGTTTGTACATATTCAGTATCTTTTATGTATCAGTTCCGTACTACAAGCTATGTACTATTTCTATACTGATTTTTGGTACTTATTTTGTATTTTTAAACTGATTCTACACTTATATACGCCAATTCTTCACACAGTATTATAACTTAAAGGGGTCATTTTAATTTTTTTGTATTATGTAATGTTTTGTCAGATATTTTTATTTGAAAAACAAAGTAGTTTTTTTTATCTAGCTCTTATTCGACGTAACTTGGTATTTTTTTACTTTAAGTCTTACTGAAATGGTTTATTTCAGACAAAAATACTCCAAAGAACTTTGTTGCAGATATAAGTAGAAATTCGACTGTTTGTGTACGCCTAGGACCGGTAAATCTAAAGAAATAATTTCCATAGTAAATGGTAGCTTATTGTTTGCTTTAACACTATAGAGGTTTCTTGTTGCCCTTTCCTTTTATGAAGAATCTAGAGATCGAAATTAAATACAGGTTGATTTTATGACGTTGTACGGCAATATCACACTTAAAGCGGCTCTCAGATTAAGATTAAATATGTTCTTTATAGATAAATCGATTTATATACTTGTCGAATCAAAAGAGAATAAATAAGGTGGAAAATTAAATTTTCTGACGATAAAATACATAAACAATAAGGAAACGCCTTAATATCTGCTTGAACGCTCTCTTTATTCAAATTGATGCACTTTTCCGAGATAAAATTACCGTTATACTTAGTTTGAAAAATCACAGAATTTGTTTCCAATGGTAAATAAATGCTGAAGGCCGCTTTAAACATTTGTTACAGTAGTAACCGCAGTAAATAAACCTCTGACAAGTCAAAGTCAAATTGAAGAAATCTTGTAGTATTTCTTTCCGATTTTATTCTTCTGTAGATTTTGTCTGTTTTGTAAATGTTATCAGTTTTATTTTCAGTGTGTTATTTATTATTTTTGCAATTGTTTTTTTATATTGTTGCTGTTGTTGTTGTTGTATATTCCGTTACGGTATGAGATTTGAAGGTTTCCTTCATTTTGGAGACACAAATAAATACAAAGAAATATCAGTGCGTGAGTTTGCTTTTTAAAATCCATACCCATGAATACCAAACCTTTTATGTATGCTATATTTTTTACCAGTTGTGACACATGTTTTGGATGAATCAGTTTTTATATATAACGAGATACATGTTAATGTTTAAGTTTATATTTTGTTCCTATCAAATTAACATATATAATCCTTTAAAGTCAACATCACGATGATAGGTTTTAGTTAATTTAATAACGTCCAGGACAAATATTTCATGGCCACATAGAATGGTTTAAACTAACTTCTGTGTTGCAAATCATATTGTAACAGACATTACACCAGAGAGGAGATCGCTCCAGGGGTGTAACAGCATTATACATGTACACCAGAACATAATTATGACATTGACATACACGTATTGTTTCATATAAAGTAAAACAATATCAATAAGCTGAAACAATTCAGCGAATTTTATTACATTGCCATTCAAATCTGAAAAGGACCATCCAAACGATCCTATTTGAAATACAAAATATTCTCCCATCCATTTATTAATGTTTGAAACAACAATAAACGTATTACACGTTCTTCTATATGTAAATTGATGTCTTACATAGATAACATGACTTCGTAAATAACACCGGGTACTACAACACTTAAGACCCTTTGATGTACATGTTACAAGCTAGAAGCTAATTACCTACCATTATAGTTATGTTATTATTTACTTAAACAAAATATCAAAGGTCCGGTCTGTCTTTCAACAACATTTGTTTGGAACATTTTATGTAATGGTATGTCCACTTTCTACACATTCCACTCGGTGGTAATATAACAAAGCAAAAAGACTCATTTCTATGCCTGGAAATTGTTTTCTTATTTTGAGATATCCGGTGTGTTATATATGATTATCAAAATGCATTATTCTACATTTCTTTCCACTTTCCTTTAAATAATCATATGATTATAAGTTATTGTATTCAACGATTTAATTTTAATTTTAAACAAGATCGCTTTACAAAGACGTGTAGTAAATTCTTGTATATTTTAGATATTTAACTACAGTATGAGACAAATATTTTGGTTGTTACTTTGACATGTTGCACAACAGAGACAAAATATAGTGGAAGTCTTTACCTTTGGAAGCAATAATATTACTTGATCATCAGAGGATCGTTCTACCGAGCCTTTATAATAAATGCTATGCATCTTTTAATTTCATGTCATTAAAACGATTTTCTGCCTGTTACAAGACTCAAAGAAAGTCAATAATATCATTATATGTGATGGCATTTAGTCAAATGTAAACTCGGTCCGTCCAAAATGCAAAAGCATTCAAATTAATGTGCAAAAATGAAATCTGTCACAGATGCTGTCAATTAAGTAATGAAACAACATTTACATTTTGATTTAATAACGAAACGGTTTTGATCATGGAGGACAAAGTTGATGTAATCAATTTGAAATCCAGATCTGCAAAGCTAGCAATAGCATTACATAACATTCAATATCTATGCAATTTATTTATTGGAATTTAATAATTAATGAAGTTTCTTAATTTATAGTGACATATATGATCAATGGACGAGTCTTTTTTGTCATGTCAACTAAATGTGGAGTTATAATTTTTCCAAAAGCTATTTCATTTACATGCTAATGCTCGTACTATAACAGGATATTTAGTTTAATTATGCATTCTCTATTATAATTTACAATGAAGTAACATTGTATTTGTTAGGATAATTTTTGTGGCTATACCATATGTATGGTTACATCTCCAATTCAAGGACAATAGCCAATCTACTATAGTCCGATTAAAGTAAAATTTAACGTCAAACAAATTGCAACACAAGCTTTTTTTACATTTTTAGTTTGTTATACACATCATATAAAACAGGTAAAAACCCTAAAAAAATCTAACCATAGCAAACCAGTAAAAAAAAGCAATTCAAATTTTACATTTCTTTCGAGTTTTTATATGGCTCTGCATGTACACCATACGCAGAGTTTTATACTGTAACCGGTGTCGAGGTAAACAAAAGTTCTGAGGCCGCGCGATTTAAATATATCAAAATTAACACATTTACTACTTGGAGTTGGTTTTAGAAGCTGTTGTGCAAAGTATGTATACATTTTTATATTATATTTACTTGTTTTTACAACTTTTAGCCTCGTACATGCCCAAATACCAAATACAATGAATGAATTGTAATGGGTTTTCGCGTGTATATAAATCAGCGTTTGTCGTTTCAAACAGTTAAGATTTTTCAATTTTCATGAGATATAAATAATCATTAGCCTATATAAACATTTCTTTTGATAATAAGATGTTTATGAAGTAGGAAAAATAAAAATAAACAAATTTAAGTTTATCCCGGGTAGCTTCAAAATGTAACTACGGAAGCGTGTTTGGGTAAACAATGCACGAAATCTAGAATAAAATGTTATTAATTTTAGAATCATAAATGCATGATATTTATTAACAGATCATTAGTTTTTGGTATAAAAATGTCATTGTGTATGATAGCTACTATGTTTTCATTTTAATAACATTTGGAAAATAAGAATTGAAAGGTAATACTGAGCGTGATACGAGTATATTATCTTTTTACATACTAGTGATATATGAGATGTCAGGGGAGTCAAAAACAGATACAGAATTTATAATGATTATGTAATTTTAAAAGTGTGATTCCAAAAAAAAAGGGAGAAACTTATTTTACAGTCACAGTAAGCAGTTCAAATTGTTGTTGAGCTCAATGGTTTAACCAGAGACATAGATAACATGCTATCTGTGTCTCTGGTTTAACTAAATTGTGCTACAAATATTAATGAGGAGCTATATTGGGAGTTAACTGTTGCTTTGCCAGTGGTAATAGATCCCCGTTTTGAGTGTTAAATTTGTTGTACAATTTTACAAACACATGAGATAAGATAGTTTCAATACAAACGTATTGAATAAGAGATGTTTGTGCTAATATAGATATATGTATGTCCATCTACACCGTCTGTCTTTCTGTTTAAAAACATGAATATCTGCCTTTCTGTCCGTCTGGCTCTCTGTTTTTTTGTCTTTACCAAAAAATAAAATTTGATAGTTGTAAAACTTGATTCTGAGATACTGTTAACATCTGACTATCTTTAATAGGGTTTGTCTATTTGTTCGCTTTCCTTTCCTTATGCTGTCCGTCCTATATCTATGAAAACTACAGCATATGGTCTGTGAATATATTGAAAGTATTGGCCTAAACGAACAGATAACTCATTTATATGAAGTGATTGATAAATAGTTCGGGTGCTTTTTTTGATAAGCCAAATATGAAAGCCCTGTCATACCTACAACCATTTGACCACAAGGAAAATGCCTCCTTTTATTTAATTCTGTTTCTCTCGTCAATAACAGTTACAGATGTTATTTAAATATCTGGTAAAAAAGTGATCCCTCAGATGCATTAAAAAGCAAATTTACATGAAAATTGCAGAGCCGTTTTGATTGAGTCTGTATATGACGGATAATGAAAAAGTGCAACATCCCTCATGCCCCCTAGCACTGGATTGAGCGGTACTAAATTCTCAACACTTAAAAGTGCTGGATTCAATGATCCCGAAAGAACAGAAAAATATAACAACACTGAAGTGAAGTACGGGGCAACTTTGTACGGTTGCCACACAGCACTTCATCTGGTAAAATAAGTGATCCCTCGGAAGCATTAAAAACAGCAAATCTGTATTTGACGTTGAACATATGTTTTGCTCTATAGTGCACCCAAATTTATGCATTTCTCTGAAGAGGACTCCACTTTTTGGGTAAAATTTATTTGATGAATAGTATTTTTTTTTAAAGACCAGACAATGGTTTTTGTAATCTCTTTTAAATTCCATTTTAGATGACTGGATGGAAAGCCGAAATGATAGAAAAGAATATTGTTATCATTACGACGAGAAGAGAAAACTGCAAGAGACCATAATATGATTAGAAGTTCAGAAACAAGAAAAAAATGTTGAACGTATATTTATTTAAGACAATAACTGTGTAAGTTGCAGAAAGAACATAAATTTCCTGGCGATGTTGTCAGTAAAGTTGAAACCTTAGACTTTCATGTTTAAATCAAATCTTTGTGTAAAACAAGACACTTTAAGCGTGCAGTAAGGTCCGCGGAAGAATCAAAGGCGTAATTAAATGGCCTCCTGACAGTTAAAATACGTTACCACCATTGTTGTAACAGTAACAGTCATAAAATTACCCCATCCCCTTCACCCAAGTTGAATGCTTTAATGGCTTTTCTAGCAGTGGATCTCTGCTGAGAGATTTAAGTCCATGTCAAGTTTGTTCCTATTTTATCTTTTGGAAACGTTTTACAGGTATCTTTTATTTGTATAAAGTCAAGAACATTACTTTTACTTTTAATTCACTTGCTTTATATTCCTTTATTTCTTAACCAAACTATCAAGTCAAAAAGTCTTTACTTCCGACCTTTAATCTAATGGATATGAGGATATTAAAATATAGCGTTTATTGTGTTATATCAACTTAACCAGTTTTACTTATCTTTTTTAATCGTCGGTGGTTCTACTCAGATGCCAATTCGTGCCTGAAATAATGCACGGAAGGGCACCTGAGGTCTTCCTCCACCAGTAAAGCTGGAACGTCGCGATATGACCTATACTGTGTCGATGTGACGTAAAACCCAAAAAACAAACAAATAAATCTTTGTTAATATAAAAGATGTTTCACATAAGCCTGCTTAAGAAAGCTAAATATTCGAGTATTTTTGTTTTCAGTAACCGATTCAAGTGCAGTACCGATAGCGGCGGAACCTGTTAGAGACGCTGCAGAACCTTCTATCTGGGAAAGCACTGTGACTATTGTAGGCATTGCTTTATGTGGTCTAGTCGCTATCACGGCCGTGGCATTTGTCATCTATCACCGGGTGTGCCATACCCGTCAACACAAATATGCAATGGCGTCTCACGAGGAGAGCCCGAAGCGCATGTGCAAGAGTACAAGCATGAGCACACCGAGCCACGAGAGTCATCATGGGATTGAAATAGAACATGACATGGAAATGCCTTTAACTAGAATTAAAAATGGTGCTGACAAGAAACGAGTAAAGACACCTGGTTCAACACGATCAAAAGGCTCGTTTTCTAGCACGTGTTCAAATAAAGGAAAGAAATTAAAAACTAAAGCTGATGTAGAGCATGGAACTAGTCGTGCAACTGCGCTCACTCCAAATAGAGATTATTCTCAGATTCCACAACATGATTCTAGTCCGCTTAAAAAACATAGAGTTCATGAATTGACTAAAGAAAATGAAAACAATATGAGTTTATTTAGAACTAGTCCTTTAACTAAACCAAAGGTCCCGAGGTCACCAAAAGTTCACCCATCCCCTAAATTACAGAAACAAAAGCCACTTACTTCACCATCCAACGATGATTTTGATACAGTAAGAACAAAGCATGATTTTCTTTCCGAACGTTTTGGAAATTCAAATCGTGAAAAACAAAGAGTTGTGATGGGGTCTGATCATACCCCGACGAACAGTGTGAAATCTCCGCCGTCGGATAGTAGTAGGACCGATTGTGAGACGCCGACGAATATTGACAATGGCGTTAAATATCGTAATCATACACGATTTAAAAATAGTTTACAAACTGATCAAAATAACCACCGGGAACGTCCAAATGATATAACACTAAGTGATCTTACAAAAACTGAAAAAGATACTGATAGAAAGCCGGCGTCGGGAACATCCGACGACTCAACATCAGCAGAAAAAGACACAGGGACTAGTATGACAACGTCTTTTATAGAAAATGGTTCAAAACCACGTCGGCCTACCTCGTTAACGGAAAGTTATAGTAAAATGAGTATTGCTTCGGCAATCAGCCGAGGTAGTATAGAGGGTGCTAGAAATAGTAACAGTATAGCAAGCTCAAAAGACAAACTTTCTGTTACATCGAGTGATGATAGACAAAACGCGCTGCCCAAGCCGGATGGCCAAAGTCCGAAATCTCAAAGACTTGAAACGATGAAAGTTGAGTCGAAAAACTCCTCGCCAACAAAGACATCTAAAGCTTCCACACCGCGTAGTGTTCGTAGTTCGAAAAGTGATTTAACAGATAAAAGTAATAATACGAAGTCACCGGCTAGAAGTATTAATACACCATCTGACGTCATAGAACTTGAGTATGATGACTTTATAGACATGGATGATACATATTCATATTTTGATCCAATTGTTACAGAGCAATTAACGTTTCATGGTGTTGAAAGGGTAGCCGTTAAAACCCCTAAAACACCAAATAAAGAAACGACAGCAAAATGATTGAGGTAGAAGTTTGTTAGAAAATATCTTTTTAGTGCAATATGATGTCATGTACTAACACAACTAAATTCTTTTGAAACTATGGAATAAATTCAGGCTATTTACCGTATACCGTATACCATATATAAAATGTAGTATATACGGAATGTGTACCGGCATTTCTCGTGATTAAAAAAAAGTTTCTGTGGAAGTACAAGATTAAATGAAATCTAGATTCGTCTAATGGTTACATTTGTTAATATAATATCCATTTTACAATACATATAAACATATTGTTAAGATGGCAGTTAACACATTATTTTTTACAAAAATAAGCAAAGAAAAATACTGATCTCATATCATGATATGTTATATTCCATTTCATCCTCATCATTAGTCAGTGACAAACAAAATGGTTGTATCATTCATATCAATGTTTATATATAACAGGCAGCTTATATCATTCAATCACAGATATGAAGGAATATATATTTTTGTGATGTTATATCATTTTATTTAAGGTTGTGCCATGAATGAATATTGCCATTAAGCCATGCCATGAGTGTACTTTGTCATAAAGAAATGTATACAATAATTGAGCCGCGCCATGACAAACCAACATAATGGCTTTGCGACCAGCATGGATTCGGACAAGCCTGCGCATCCGCGAACGTCGATCAGGATCCATGATGTTCGCTATCAGTTTCTCTACTTGTTATAGGGTTTGTAAGTGAACAGCATGGATCCTGATCAGACTGCGCGGATGCGAAGGCTGGTCTGGATCCATGCTGTTCGCAAAGCCAATTTGTTGGTTTTGTCATGGCGCGGCTCAATATGTTTACAGATTGCTACAATTGTTATTTCATCAATAAAAATGTACACAATCACTTTCAAACGAAAAAACAACAACTTAAATTGCAAATTATATTTACAAATATACATATCCATATTTTGGACACTCGGAACCTCCTCTCATGAACTTTATCAATATGTAAATACATATTTTATTCAAGTGCATCGAAATAACGGACGTTTTCGTCACACAAATCACCAAATTTAGAATCCATGACTGTATTAATACGTGAATGTATAGTTTACTTTCGACATTTCAATTCAGCGCTTTCATTTAAATGACAAAAATCTCTTTGGAACATTTAATTATCTGTTAATAATACTAGTAGTCCTAACTTAATGTGTACTAATTATGTACTTATTGTGAACTGATGTGTACTAATTATGTACTAATAGTGAACTAAATTTTAATTCTGAATCTTTATGTTTGTGTGTGTACGGTTATTGTATATGTTCAATATTGATTCTGTACTAATACTGATTTTGTACATATTCAGTATATTTCATGTATCAATTCCGTACGACAAGTTATGTACTATTTCCATACTAATTTTGTACTATTTCTGTATTTTTAAACTTATTCTACACTTATATACGCCAATTCTTCACACAGTATTATAACTTAAAGGGGTCATTTTATTTTTTTGTATTATGTAATGTTTTGTCAGATACTTTTATTTGAAAAACAAAGTAGTTTTTTTTATCTAGCTCTTATTCGACGTAACTAGGTATTTTTTACTTTAAGTCTTACTGAAATGGTTTATTTCAGACAAAAATACTCAAAAGAACTTTGTTGCAGATAAAAGTAGAATTCGACAAGTTGTGTACGCTGAGGACCGGTAAATCTAAAGAAATAGTTTTCATAGTAAATGATAGCTTATTGTTTTCTTTAACACTATAGAGGTTTCTTGTTGCCCTTTCCTTTTATGAAGAATGTAGAGATCGAAATTAAATACATGTTGGTTTTATGACGTTGTACGGCAATATCACACTTAGTTAAAGCGGCTCTCAGATTAAGATTAAATATGTTCTTTATAGATAAATCGATTTATATACTTGTCAAATCAAAAGAGAATAAATAAGGTGGAAAATTAAATTTTCTGACGATAAAATACATAAACAATAAGGAAACTCCTTAATATCTGCTTGAACGCTCTCTTTATTCAAATTGATGCACTTTTACGAGATAAAATTACCGTTATACTTAGTTTGAAAAATCACAGAATTTGTTTCCAATGGTAAATAAATGCTGAAGGCCGCTTTAAACATTTGTTTCAGTAGTAACCTCAGTAAATAAACCTCTGACAATTCAAAGTCAAATTGAAGAAATCTTGTAGTATTTCTTTCCGATTTTATTCTTCTGTAGATTTTGTCTGTTTTGTAAATGTTATCAGTTTTATTTTCAGTGTGTTATTTATTATTTTTGCCAATTGTTTTTTTATATTGTTGCTGTTGTTGTTGTATATTCCGTTACGGTATGAGATTTGAAGGTTTCCTTCATTTTGGAGACACAAATAAATACAAAGAAATATCAGTGCGTGAGTTTGCTTTTTTATAATTCATACCCATGAATACCAAACCTTTTACGTACAGCTATTTTATATTTATTACTAGTTGTGACACATGTTTTCGATATATTAGTTTTGATACATAACGAGATACATGTTAATGTTTAAGTTTATATTTTGTTCCTATCAAATATTAACATATATAATCCTTTAAAGTCAACATCATGATGATAGGTTTTACTTAATTTAATAACGCCCAGGACAAACATTTCATGGTCACATAGAATGTTTTAAACTTTTGCAAATCATATTGTTACAGACATTACACCAGAGAGGAGATCGCTCCAGGGGTTTTACAGCATTATACATGTTCACCAGAATATAATGATAACATTGACATACCGATATTGTGTCATATTAAGACAAAACAATATCAATAAGCTGAAACAATTCAGCGAATTTTATAACATTGCCTTCCAAATCTGAAAAAGAACAAACCATACAAACGATCCTATTTGCAATCATTAAAAAAACATTCGTGGTCTTATTCGTAAAACGTAACTCATATTCATCTTATCTAAGATTACACCTTAGACATAGAATAATTCATATTATGACCAAAATTATACACAAAATATTCTTCCGTACATTTATTTATGTTTGAAACAACATTAGAATAATTGTCTTACATGTTCTACTACGTGAAAATTGATGTCTTACATGGATAACATGACTTCGTAAATAACACCAGGTACTACAATACTTGAGATGCTAGACGCTAATTACTAACCTTTATATTTATGTTATTATTTACTTAAACATGAGATCAAAAGGTCCGGTCTATCTTTCAACAACAGCATATGTTAAAAAATTACATGTTGCAAGATTTTATATAATGGTATGTCCATTTCCTATGAAATGTTAATATAGCAAAGTGAAAAGACGTCTTGCTATGTCATACTATGGGATATCCGACGTGTTATATACATGTATGATCATGTACAGTCTTTTACAAAATATTTCAAAGCTTTTTGTCATCGCTGTGCACCATGCCTTTTACTCTTTGTCCGCGGCTACCAAAACAACTTGGAACACTCTTGCAGGCATACAGTTCAATCTAAAAAGAAAAGAATAGAAAGAACTTTAAATAACAAATTATAATGCATTGTATCATGTAATAAGAGCTAAAATGTATCAGTAAATCCCCATTTCCACGACAGAGACTGTTTTGTTTAGGAGTCAATTAATCTACATTTCTTTCCACTTTTCTACAGAGACTTATCAGCTACAAGTATAACTGAAAGCATTGTTTATAAATACATTAAACTGTAAAATAATGCGACGAATAAACCAGAAGTGACACATTGGCAGCCGCACATCTGTACTTCCGTACTTAAATAATTATATAATTATCAGTTATTGTATTCAACGAGTTAATTTTTAATTTTGAACAAGATCACTTTACAAAGTATTATTACATGCTTTTCGGTGGTTTATAGAAATATATCAGTGATATAAAACTGGTAATTTCACTGTTTGAAACAGTGAAATTACCAGTTTGATAATTTCACTGTTTTGAATTTAAGCCCCTTAAGTTGTTTCAGTGAAATACCAGCGTGCACAGAACTGGGTACTAACTTAATGATGTGACGTCGTAAATGACGTCACGTTGTATTATTATTTGGCGCGCTTATCATTCAGTATATACCTTTTGGTGCACACTCGATGAAATATATTCCGATCTTACACTGAACTAAACAAATATCCTCTATGTAAACTCTTTTATATTTTAGCAATTTAACTAGAAGGCAGAACGACGCCCTTTGAGAGGCAACTATTGTGGTTGTAAGTTACAAATAATGCTCAACAGAGGCAATGTATAGTGGAAATCTTTACTTTTGGAAGAAATTATATTTCTGTTGTAAATATGTTTTACTGTACATACAGTACACATTTGCTTTCATATCATCAGAACAACTTTCTGTCTGTTTTTTTACGATTAAAATAAAGTCAGTATTATCATTATATGTGGTGGTATTTAGTCAAATGTAAAATCGGTCCGTCCAAAATGTAAAAACACTCAAATTAATGTGCAAACCGATGCTGTCAATTAAGTAATGAAGCAACATTTACAATTTGATTTAATAACGAAACTATTTTGATTATAGAGGACAAAGTTGATGTAATCAATTTGAATTCCAGATCTGCAAAGCTCAGCAATTGCATCACATCACATTCAATATCTATGCAATTTATGTATTGGAATTTAATAATTAATGAAGTATTTTAGTTTATAGTGACATGTTTGATCAATGGACGAGTCATTTTTGTCATGTCAACTAAATGTGGAGTTATACTTTTTACAAAAGCTATTTGATTTACATGCTAATGCTCCAACTATAACAAGAGTTTAATTATTCATTATTTATTATTATTTACAATGAAGTAACATTGTATTCGAAATGACAATCTTTGTATGTGGTTTTTCCATATATTGGTTACATCTCCAATACAAGGACAATAGCCAATCTACACCGCCTTCTTATCTCTTAATCTAAATGCATTTCGGAGAAAAGGTGGCATCATATCGTCACCTTAAATAGCAACACGTTAACTTACATTAATTTATACATATATAAGGAGTTAACCCGTTACTGCACTAAGGTGACAATATGTTATTTTTTAAAACTATAATGTAATTTCTTTCATATAATTTATTATAAAGATATTTTACGGTTGATTATTTTGGACCAAAACTTAGTTGTATTTTATTTTTCAGTTTAATATCAATGTAAAATCGTATCAAGAGC